TTAAAAGTTAATGACACATAAAATAGGTGTTTAGTCCCACATATTGTTAATTCATCACCATTTTCAACATCTGATTGTTAAATAATATATACAACATTACTGCACAACAATTTAGATCACGGAGTTCACAAATGGTTTACAATACATTAAAATATGAATTGTGGATATTCATAAAATTTGATAAAATAATTTATAATAAATTGTATTTGACATACAAACACATTTTTTCACCTCCATTTTCTACTATGTTTTGGATTGGTTGGGTGTGTAGAAGAACCTCAATCTTCTGTGATCTGCTGTCAGACACTTTGTCCCCTCCATCACTATTCAAAAACATCAGATGCACACTTCCATTCTGACAACACACTGATAACAGGATTACTATACCTTAGCAGACTGAGGTTGGCATCTGGGCCACATTTCCTCTAATTCTTAAAATCACAGCCCTCCAAACAGTTGTCTAAATTTTATTACCTCTCCCTCTTTGTTTCTTTTCCTTTTGCTCACTTAGCTTGTCCAGTGGTAAATCATTCATATCCAGACTGTACACACATCTTGCCAACACCACAGTGAGAGAATCCATAATTTTTGCCCATTCAGCAATCAGTTCATTCCAAGCCGTGAGAGAAGAAAGCACAGATAGCAGCTCATCCCATAGTTCCCGTGAGATATATACACTTAAATTAGCCCGAATCCAGGCGACAATGAGCGTCTAGAGAGGAAAAATTGTTCAAGATTTATATTGCTGTAGTAAAATCTTTTTAAGTTTGATTACAAATTGACACAAGGTCAACATTAAGCTAAAAACATGTAATACTAAAAGCCTTTACTTTAACCGTGATTGCACATCGGCATAATAAAGCATAGTAACTGAATCAAATAGACTGTTTCAGCACAAATCACTATTCACACATAAAAACCTCGACGTCCAAGCAGCAGCAAATAGCAAACTACAACAATCCACAACTGATTTACTTCTTTAAGTAATTTTTTGAAGTGTGATGGCTGTTATTTAATTTCATGACCGATATTTACACTTGGATTTAACTAAAACAGAGAATTAAGTTCTAAATTTAGTGCAACAAAAACAAAGTGGCTGGAAAAGCTCAGCAGGTCTGGCAGCATCTGTGAAGGAAAAAAACAGAGTCAACGTTTCGGGTCTGGTGACCCTTCCTCATCCGAGAACCCGAAACATGAACTCTGATTTTTTCTTCACAGATGCTGCCAGACCTGCTGAGCTTTT